TGGGCTGAATTGCACAAAACGCATGATCACACCGGCTAGTCTGGTGCGCGTTGCCATTTATTTTTTTGGCTTCGGTTTTGCACAATTCCCTCCAGGTGGATTAGCATCTGTTCACTGAGTTTGCAGTCATCTGTCCACTGAGCATCTGTTGGCTGAACTTGCATTTAACTGCATTTGTCTTTTTCCTTCTTGGCTCACTTCATGATGATTAAAGCCGCTGCAACTTAATTACCGCTGTTTTTATTTTGCATTTTACGTTTTTTACATTTTTTTTTTCGGCATTTCACGTTATTTTTGCATTTTACGTTTTTTGGCGCTTTACGTTCTTTTCGCGTTTTTTTACATTTTAAGATTTTTAGATTTTTTTTTTACATTTTACGTTTTTTTGCATTTTGCGGTTCTTTTTTTAGATTTTTTCGCTAAGTGACTTAATTCGCTAAGTTTTCTTAAACTACGCTTTTTTTTGCATTTTTGTCAAGTAAAAGGTCTTTTGTGGGTAGCACATTTTCCACGAATGTCTGTTTTTGCTTGCTGTTTTTGGATTATCCTTTAACTAGCTGCCCTTCTCATAATTAAGCTTTTCCAAGTATGCGACAGGCACTTCTCCCGTTTGCTTTGCATTGCTTGGTGCTCAGATTGCTCGCTGAGATCTTTCGCTCATTTCATCTCCGGATGGAATTGTGAAACATGTGACAGCACGCATAATCTCATTTTTAACAGCCACCACTCTTTTAGCGCTAACAATAATTGCATGGCACTGGAATGGCTCGGGCAAAATGCTGCGCAATTTGGGTGCACCGTTTCCAGTGGAATGGCAACTGTGCAAGTACACCTCATGCTTCTGGACTTCTTTCAAACTTCTTCAGCTGCTCCTGGCCGATTGCTGCCATAAGGTTCCTCCTTTACAGCATCTCTACTGACCTGCCACAACACTGTGCATTTCATTCATTTCTCAAAAAAAGCCACTGCTTAACAGTCATGTCGCCTCCCACATTTCACAGTTGGAAAAATGACCTCAGAAATAGTGGCCTGGGGCTTCCTTCAGCCATCTAATTAGCCTCTAAAGCAGTCTTTGAATGAGGGAGTGCTGCAGTGAGTGGACTGCTAGCTGGAAGTGAACGGCCGAAGGTCGGTGGAACAGCAAAGAGCTATGAGTACACGGTTTCTTCCGTTTCGAGTCACGTTTTACGGTCTGTTGCGAAATTCGTGTCGTCTGTCTTAACTGGACTGTTTTGAGCGAAAGCCCTACTTCTTCTGGGAAGTATTGACCATCACACGTTTGCTCCGCGAGTGGTTACTGGTTTTTAGCTAACAACGATATGTACTGCGATTTGCAAATAATCCTTTAAAATTCTGGCTTTTTTTTGTCTTTGTTTAATTTTTTTTTTTTTGCTTTTAGATAGAGATTAGCGTCGAAGATCCACTAGCACTGACGGATGTGGATTTTTTGGATGACTACGTGCCTATTAGTGATGGCACACCGCCATACCCAATGCCAAATCCACTGTCTACTTCGCTGGACGGCGATGAGAGCACTGAGAATGTTGTTTCGGAGTGATGTAATGTTTCACAACCTTACTTTTTCCGATAAAAATTTTTTGAAGCGATGTTATCACGGCAGTACATGTCGGGGAACTAAGTTGGGCTGGCCGTATGGCAAAAATGGGAGATAACAGATAAACAAATGTGGATTGTCGACTGCTACGCGTGAAGTGCTAAAGGTAACACAAAGGAAGGAAGCCACGAGAGCTTTGGAAGGATCCGCTTGAACGACTGTGTGGAACTTTTTGGACGAGAGAAGTTCAGAACAGGGGTTGATGGCATTTCCAGCTGTAGTAATGGCTGAGCTAAAAATAAACAACTGGTTGAAGATAAACACCAAAACAAGTTGACGGTGATATGAAATTTGAAATAATCAAGCATACTATCCAAAATCTGGCTCAATAATGAAGCTAGACCTAACAAGTTAATAAATTTGGGCAGATTTCTAAACGTCAATCGAAGAAATCGTATATGGAAGGGGGATCACCAGAAAAATCAGCGCCTGGCTGGAACCACCAGGGAAAACCTTGCTCAGCATCTGCTTCAAAACAGAGAAGGCTGCCAATTTGAGCGCAGCCAAGGCTTCGCTTTTATTTTGCTAGGCCTGAGATATTAGCAAGGAAGCAGAGCTGGGGTCAGAGATGGACTGTATAATCAGTGACCGCGGGAAGAGGCAGAGCGATCAGCATAATTAGCGAAAGTCCTGAAGGGACTGCGCAAGAGGGGGGATGCAACCAGGCTGTCTACGGTTCACCAATTCATTTCAATGGGATATTGGTACTGGCGCATTCGAAATCAGCTTGCTTCTGAGTCACCCCTCCGAACAGTGTCTTCTTCTTCACCTGTTATGGAAAGTCAGACAAAGAATGAGCTTAGATGGCGATTGATACGAGCTTTCTTGTGTTGTTTATTCAAAATACCAAGACCGCTCCGAAGGGTGTCGGTGCGGGTATTCCTCTCAATGATTTTATTGGATTGTTCTTACAAGCCAAGCTTCGATTCTGGGCTCCCAACTCTTGTCGGTGTACACCACCTGTTCTGTGTATGTGTGCCAGCCCTTCACGTGTGGCCCCCTTTGCTTTCTAGTCTCGAACTCCATGAACGGTAGTGCAACCGCTTGTACAATGCGTTCGCTCCCCTTCTTCAGGAACCCGCAAGTGGCCATCTCTCTTCTCGCTGTCATAAAACAAACTGTGATGATGACCTTAGATGCCAAAGTGTCGGAGGTATACTGAATACAGAAAGCAGGAAGGAATGAGGCAAGACGTTTCGATTGATTAAGTCATATACGTCTTAACTCAGCACTGAATTTTAGCAGGGCGAACAGTGTATTCCCTCTAAATGGACTTTACTCTCCCGAGGAGTCCTTCGTAAATACACGTGATTTTGTACCAAGTTTTTCGATTCTGGGCTTTCAGTTGGCACTCATCGCCTGCCCGATACTTGCGATCTGTTTGTAGAATGAATGTTTTATTAGAAGTGCAGTCAGATTATGAAGTGATCGATGATGATCCAATGTCTCGCTAAAGTAGTAACTGAAAATAGCAATGCGAATTGGGCCAGTCGAAAATCAGATGGGGAGAAATCGTCGTAAATTTGTTCCATTTGATCGTCAAATACGTTCATCTCCAGTTCCTCGTTTTTATATTTTTCAATAGCATCTGTGTCCACTGCAATGTAAGCATCATTCAAAAACACGACATAAATTATTATAAAAAGCAAGTGGAATTGTTCATCGAGGTTTATAAAGCGAAATCCCTCCTAAAATTGGTTCAGTCGCTGCGGTGGTAAATTTTACTGGAGTGCATTTCAAACAGTCCTGAAAAGACGAAGCCATTCACAGCCGTGCTTGTCAGCAGACGGCTACTTTTGAAACGGCTACTTCCCGGGCTATTTCCGGGTGGGTGCCTCCGCCTCTCGTAAAATGAAGACTCTGGTACTGACTTTTCGAACAAAACGCTAACTGCTTGGCACTTTCAGTTTTTCGGAATTTTTTAATTTGGTCAGCTTTTTTGTTGTTTTGAAAGATCACTGGGATTCACAGAAGGCTAATTTTCCATGTCTCAGCAGATAGCCAAGTTTCATTCAAATGGCTGTTTTCATAATCATACTTCGTTTTTCGCGATCTTCGTAATTCATTTACAGGTTTACAATTTTCGACTATTCTCAACGAATAAGCAAAATTCGAAAAAATAACTGTTCTTCAAAAATGATGGAACTTCACGATCACGGCAAACAATGCCATTAAAAAAGAGCAGGACAAGAATGTGAAGGGAAAAATGTTCAAGAAATTTTGTGTGCCTCTGCTTTGGCCTTTCAAGTTTAAATTTAGAAATTCCTGCATATTCGCCTGCTCTGATAGGCTGTGGTACTTGGAAGTCGCATCACTCATAGCAACTAGCTGCACCAAACACCAGCTATCGATAGCTCCCTCTTTCGATGGTTACTTAGAAGTAGGCTGATGGCAGTTTTAACTCCATCACATGCATCCAGCACCAATAGTCTGGATGAAACAAAAAAAAAAAAACAATTGATTTTATTACTGTCAGATTCGAACCTTCAACATCTAGCATGAAAATAGCTACTTTTCTGCAGGCACCTAGTACCACGAGGGCTTTCTAA